TCTTTTTCTTGTGACGTGAGGGTTTTATGTCTTGGTTTGAAAGTCCTGGTTCAAAGATTGTAGAAAATTAACATATCTTTGCTTTAATTATTTTATGGTTTAATTTTTTATGTTTAAAAATACCATCCACTTGGAATTATTTTGGTGTTAGGAGTGAGATTAGAAGTCTTTTTACTTCTAAGTGGCCAATTCCAAAGTGAGTGTTTATATAATGAATGTGGGAAGAGAAAAAAAAGATATTTTCTAGTTTTTCAGCCTGATTTTTTTCCTCTTGTGATTTTTATTTATATTTAAAGAAAGCATTATAGAAAAGAAGATACATTTAGAAACAAAGAAGAATCACCCGGCATCATACTATTATAAAATATAAATTATTTCCATTTTTTACTCTCAAAGTTTCTTTCCGTATTTATATTGGTTTATAAGTGATGACTCAGTAGCAGTCTCTTACATTTTAGATTTAGTATGTGCTCTGTAGATATTGTGTGTCAGTTGGCTTAAATATCTATTTAATGTTAGTACAAAATGAAAAGAAATTGTAGCCTAAAAATTTTTTTAAGGATTTAGTTCTCCTCGACCCAAAATTTTCCTGAATTCTTTTAATGGTCAAGGAAAGACTCCAGTGAAATTTAAATTTTAAAAGAAATGACAGATCTGATTTTTCTTCCTAGATTTTAGACTGGTTTGTACAGATATGTTTGGCCCTGAAACATGTACATGATAGAAAAATTCTTCATCGAGACATAAAATCACAGGTATGTTATTCTGTCAGCAATAACTTCTAAATGGATAAGGACACAGAGCCTTCATTGTCTTGAGCCACAGATTTTGAACCTGATTCATTGTGCATCGGATTATGTCTGCTCTCTTTGCTCTTATCCTAGAAATCCTCTTCATCTGCATCCTATGTTAGATCTGCTTATCCTCAAAAATTATTTCCCTCAACTCCCACTCTCTAAAAATTCCAGAACGTTTTTATCACTCCAAAAAGAAACCCTGTACCCATTAGTACTCACTTCCCATTTCCTCTCCGCCTAGACCCTGGCAACCACTAAATCTACTTTCTGTACGTATGGATTTGCCTATGCTGGACATTTTATGTAAATGGAAACCATACAATATGTTCCTTTTGCCCATTTCTAAATTAGGTTGTTTGTCTTTTTGCTGTTGTTGGGTTATAAGAGTTCTTTTTCTTGATGCAAGTCCCTTGTCAGATACATGATTTGCAAATATTTTCTCCCATTCTGTGGGTTGTCTATTTTCTTTATAGTGTTCTTTGATGCACAAAAGTTTTTCATTTTGATGAATTCTAATTTATCTATTTTTATTCTTTTTTGCCTGAGTTTTTAGTGTCATATCTAAGAAACTATTGCCTAACCCAAAGGCATGATGGTTTACTCTTATTTTCCTCTAGGAGTTTTATATTTTAGTTCTTATATTTAGATCTAGAATCCATTTTGAGTTAATTTTTGTGTATGGTTCGAGGTAGGGAACTACATTTATTCTTTTTCATGTGGATATCCAGCCACTCCAGCATTATTTTTCAATTGGATTAATTTTGATAAAAAGTGTTTTTGGCTCACACCTGGACTGTAACAATATTTCTGGTGTTTTTTTTCCCTGTCTTTTACAGAACATATTTTTAACCAAAGATGGAACAGTACAACTTGGAGATTTTGGAATTGCTAGAGTTCTTAATAGGTAACATATCAGTTTTAAACTATATTTTGACATAATGTCTTCAGTGAATCCTTAGTCCATGATGATGTACATGTGATAATTTATAGTACTTTAAATACATTCATATGTCACTTAACAATGAGATACTTTCTGAAAAATGCATCAGTAAGTGATTTCATTGTGCAGAAATCATAGAGTGTACTTAGTGTACTTACACAAATCTATACGGTAGAGCCTACTACATGCCTAGGCTGTACGATACAGCCTATTGCTCCTAGACTACAAACGTGTACTGCATGTTACTATAGTAAATACTATAAACAATTGTAATACATTGGTAAGCATTCGTATATCTAAACATATCTAAATATAGAAAAAATAGAGTAAAAATATGGTATAGAAGATAGAAAATGATATACCTGTATAGGGCACTTGCCATGAATGGAGCTTACAGGATTGGAAGTTGCTCTGGGTGAATCAAGTGATGTGCGAATGTGAAGGACATTAGTATACGCTACTGTGGACTGTATAAATATTGTACACTTAGGCTACACTGAATTTATTAAAAAATAAAGTAATTGCATTATGACATTATGACAGCCATGA